GTTCGCAGAAGCCAGATCGTCAGGGCGTACAAGCCGTCCTGGCGATGCGCTTCGGGACGAGATCGCGCTGGCAATTATTCTCGATTCCCCTGCAGGGAGATCAAGCGACCTGACGGTGTCAGGAGGCCGCCTTTTTCCTGGTTTGCTTCTTCCTGTCAGTCGCCAAGTGAACTCGCGCGTGCATTGTCAGCGCAGAGCGAACGCTACGTAACGTTGAGGCGGCGGTGGCCTTTACGTAGCACGGAACAGCCCGATAACGTGCACATATACTCGCCGATGACTGAGAGTACAGACCCATGTATGTTCTTGCCGTTTGGTGCAGCGGCCTTGGCGGACACGTCCGGGCCACGTTGCAACCCCTCCTTGACAGAGATGTATATAGATCACCGCCCCATCCAGCCCGCCATGTGAAACTCATGCCTGTGGCGTCCGGACGTGATCCTAGCGCAGGTGCGGTTCCCATGTGGTTCCACTTTCATTTGTAAGGCCCACGAAGAGACACTCAAGGAGGAATGTGCTGGGCGTTCTTAAGAACCAAGCTATCAGCCGTAACGGGGCAAAGTAACGACCCGAGCCTCGTAGTGAGTTGCATCTAGGTGCGGGGCGAGCGGAGGGGGCGAGAGCAGAGAATGAACTGCGATAGGACGCCAGTACGGGCCCGAATAGAGACTGCCAGACAATAAAGTGAGATGAGCCGAGGAGAAAGCTCGGGAAGGCCCGTAACAATTCAAAGGCAGAGGCGAGGAGGTTGCCGGAGCTCGAGACCAAGAGAACGCATATGAAGGCGAAGGATGGGTTATTCCTGCACTACGCCCTGGTCGACGTCCGACGCAGTCTCAGTGGGACACATGTGAGACTCCCGCATCAGACAGAGCGAGAGTAATGAGTAGGAGGAGACTGCCAGTGCCGGGCTTGCGAGATGGAGAGACGCGAATCAGAACTTGAATGTGGCACGGCAGGATTTAGTCTCGCGCGTGCACGCCCATAGGGTGTCGGATGCTGGATCCAGCCATGCGATTCAGAAGATACAGCAACAGATAACATATACTCACTTTACACGCACCCACTTCACGGGGTCTCGGAAATATGCACAACGAGCTTGACGCCGCTGACCTGTCCCATCAGCATCCTCTCCAGCCCCGCCTCGACCCCCGCAAGCCCGTTCGGGAGCACCTCCACTCTGTTCGGCTAGAACGTCCATCAGCCCCAGAGTCCACAGCAAGAATGCGGTACCACATACCACGATCGCACCCGTCTCGAGCCACCCCGTCAGCCGCTTGTAGATCGCCTCCCCGAGCTCCTTGTTCCCGGGGACGTTGTAGCTCCCCCACGCGTGCGCGATCCGCTTGCCCTCGCCCTTCCTCTCGCTCGAGCGCGCTCTTGATGTCCGAGGGGGGCAGCGAGCGGTCGAGCACGTCCGTCGCGCCGAGCGAGTTGAGGAACGCCGCGTTGCGGGGGGAAGACGTCGCGATGATGGGCGAGAAGCCTTGCATGCGCGCGCATTGGATCACTGGCTAGGCGAGTCAGGCGCGGTCACGACGAGCGTACGTGGCAGAACGCACCGAACTGGCCGACGGAGGTCGACCCGCCGAGGACGAGCGCGGCCTTGCCTGCGTACTTGGTCGTCCCGCCCGCTTCCCAAGGCGGGGTGAAACGGGCAGATTTCGCGCCGTCTTCGGATGCCCAGATGGGGGTGACAGCCGTCGCGAAGGCGAGGGGGACGGTGGCTGCTTGGTCGAAAGAGATGTTGGCTGGGACCTGACGTCCGGTGAGCGTAGATGGATGACTGGCAGAGACGACGTGCGGTCTGACGTCACGCGTAAGGAGACGCTGTAGTTGCTGCGTGGGAAAGCAGCCGGGTATAAGCCAATGGGAGCCCAGAAGACAACGCTCACTGCAGCCA